AGGCCTAAGCCACTGCTCCTGACCAGGCCAAGCATTCTGTAGGCAAGAAGAACCTAGGTCTCCTGACTCTTAGTCAATATTTCTTTTCTTATATCACTACGCTGGTAAGATACACAATTAGTCAAGTGCTAAAGACACTGTACATTTTCCAAGAAGCAACTGTACCTTTACAATACAATTCTGAATTTCTAATTTCCCCTGAAGATGTGAGTTTTGTGACTCTGGGTAAGGTACAGATGAGACGAGGAGAAAGCATACAATAGTCACTTAATAGGATTGTACCTACATATGTTTAAGAGATAAAAGTAATCTTGTGCTTTCAAAAAGAAGCACTTATAAATATTTTCCTTTGCTAAACTGGTAACAGAAACTAGAATCTACTGAAAGAAACTGATTTATACAGAGCTCAAACAAGTTGCTCCCCATGGAACAAACCTTAAACAAGAACAAACTGGCAAAGAAAAAAACTGCCACAACAGAGGGCAATTTAAAAGTCCATGAATGCATTTCAAAACATGACTTTGTTTAGGAAAGCCAAAGTCTTTTTGGGTGTGCCTTACTTCAAAAGGGATACTTTTAAGAAAACATAACTACTGCCAAACAGAAGTTTCCTTTGAATTTCAACATTTTTTTACAGAATCTCATTCTTCTAAGCATAAGAAGGTATGCAAAATATCTGGGGTCTGAATTCCACCCATATTTTTCATGCAGATATCTTGCTAAACAGGATATATGATCAGCTTTCAAAGAAAGAAAAGAGAACAATTTCTTTTTTTTTTTTTGAGACAGAGCCTCAAGCTGTCCTCCTGGGTAGAGTGCCGTGGCATCACAGCTCACAGCAAACTCCAACTCCTGGGCTCAAGTGAGTCTCTGCCTCAGCCTCCCAAGTAGCTGGGACCACAGGTGCCCGCCACAACGCCCCGCTATTTTTTGGTTGCAGCCGTCACTGTTGTTTGGTGGGCTGGGCTGGATTCGAACCTGCCACCTTAGGTGTATGTGGCTGGCGCCTTAGCCACTTGAGCCATAGGCGCGGAGCCAACAATTTCATAAACTCAATACTACCTAGCTCATTTTCCCATAAAATGGCTCCAGAAGCATTTAATGTTAGAACACTGTGTATGACCTTTATTTATACTGATTCGCTGTCAATGGAACATTGACCAGCACTTGGAAACAAAGGAAAAAATGGACTAAAGTCTAGACAGCAAAGCGTAAGTGCTCACGGATAGTTTTCAATTAAGTTACTAAGATTCAAAGTGAAGTCATGTCTAACCAAGTCCAATTATTCATTCACTTGAAAAATGAAACTAAGAGGCAAGAGACTGATGCAAAAGGATTTTGGTATGTCTGTTTTAAAGAGACTATCGTGAAAACTAACCATGTTTCAAAGACTATGTAGAAGAATTAGAAAGTCACACAAAGTAATTTTTTCCTGTTTTGGTTTAATCTCAAGTAAGTCATTCCTCTGTGCAATTATTTTCTTTCTAAAAATACCACCACCAGGCCAGGTGCAGTAGTTCAGGGCTATAATCCTAGCATTTTGGGAGGTCATGGTGGGAAGACAGCTTAAGGCCAAGAGGTCCAGAACAGTCTGAGCAACAGTGCCTGGTCTACAAAAAAAAATAGATACATTAGCTAGATGTGATGGTACGTGCCTGTGGTCTCAGCTGTGGTCCCAGCTATTCAGGAGACTGAGACAAGAGGTCTGCTTGAGCTCAAGGTATTTGATTTACAGAGAGCTGTGACGATGCCACTGCACTCTAGCCTAGGAGACAGAGCAAGATCCTGTCTCAAAAAACAACACAAAATAAAAAAAAATAATTAGCACCAAAAACCTTCTGTTCACATTGCAGAGAACTTCAAAGCAATAAAAACAAAGGCCTTTTCAATCACAAGACTAACCCTTGGCACCCACACTGATAAAGAGCTTCTTCATTCCAATTTCTTCTATAGGCAATTTCAACAGGACGAGGTGATGTTTAATATACTGCATTAAAATGTTTTGTTCTTGGCAATACATGTTTTTGCTCTCATTTACTTTTTAGAGCTAAACACAGCTAGTATAAGGATTTCTTCCACATACTACCTGTCAGACTTCCACTCTAGAGGCTATCACCTGAAATAGCCTCTTTTATTGCCCTAACCAGGAATAAAAAGACTAAAGCACATTTGACAAAGTTCCATCACCTGAACCTTCCATGCTCAAGCAGTCAAATGACATTATCATCCCTCAGTATAACTTTTATAATGCAGAACTCATCTTTAAATACCTAAAATTGTAATCAACAAGTGACCAGGTATTACCTACCCAAGGAAAGAAATCATTATATCAAAATAATACCTGTAGTCATATACTTACAAAATAATACCTGTAGCCATATGTTTACTACAGCACAATTTATAATCACAAAGATATGGAACCAACTTAAATGCCCTTAAACTGAGGAATGGATAAAGCAAATGTGGTATACAAACATCATGGAATACTACTGAGCCATAAACAGGATGAAATAATGTCTCTTGCAGCAAATTGGATGAAAGTTGAGGCCATTAGCCTAAGTGAAGCAATGGAAGACCAAATACCACTCATTCTTACTTATAAGTGGGAGCTAATATATCCAGGGGCATATAGAGTCATAAAATGGACATTGGAGATTCAGAAGAAGGGGATGGAGAGAGGGAAGAAAAACTAATTATGAGGTGTGATGTATACTACTTGAGTGATGGGTACACTAAAAACCTAGATATTGGCTTGGTGCCCACTGCACAGCGGTTACAGCGCCAGCCACATGCACAGAAGATGGCGGGTTCAAACCTGGTGCAGACCAGCTAAACAACAATGACAACTGCAACAAAAAAATAGCCAGGCGTTGTGGCAGGCGTCCATAGTCCCAGCTACTTGGGAGTCTGAGGCAAGAGAATCGCTTAAGCCCAAGAGTTTCAGGTTGCTGTGAACTGAGATGCCACAGCACTCTACCCAGGGTGACATAGTGAGACTCTGTCTCAAAAAAAATAAAATACCCCAGATATCACCTCTGTACAACTTATCCATGTAACCAAAAACCACTTATACCCCCTCAATCTATCAAAATATAAACTACAAAAAAAAAAAAAAGACCAAATGATTTGCAAATAGCCAAAATTCATGGTAATAACTCTTGGTCAGGGACAGATTTTGATGTATGCCAAGAACTGGAATTTGGTTCCAGAATGGACTGTAACTGCTGCTTCCTACCTCATAGGTACTAAACAGCACTTGGGCCAACACCAATGCTTCTCATGTCACTGAAGTCTCAGGAAGATAGAAAGCTTTCTTCACGAAAACAGAATCACTGGTTCTAAACTCTAAAAAGGAATCCCAAAAGGGTTAATTTTATGGTATGTGACCTGTATCTTGGCTTAAAAAAAAGAAACTCTTTGGTCATTGAGTACTATGAAGTGGTTATTTTCTCCATGGTAGACAGGAGTTGAAAGCATCTTTAAAATATAGACATGTGCCACATAATTACACAAGGGTCAACAACAGATAGCATATAGGATCATTTATGGGACCATCATATGATAAGGTGGTCCCATAAGATTTTAACACTATTTTTACTGTATGTTTTTGTTTGGCTATACAAATATTTATTACTGCATAACAGTTGTCTACAATGGTCAGGACAATAGGATGCTGTAAAGGTTTGTGGCCTAGAAGCAACAGGCTACACCACATAGCCTAAGTGTACACAATAGGTTATATTATCCATGATGTTGACACAATGATGAAATTGCCTAATAACACATTTCTCAGAATGTTTATCTGTCATTAAATAACATATGATTGTACTTTAACTACAGTCCTGCCATTTCAGGTACTCATGAGGATGAAGAGCAGTATTCAAAAAATGTATATTCAGAAAATAAATTACCAGCCAGGAGAGGTGGCTCACAGGCTGAGACAGGTGGATCGCTTGAACTCAGGAGTTCAAGACCAGCCTGAGCAAGAGACATCCCATTTCTACTAAAAATAGAAAAAGTTAGCTAGGCGTCTATAGCTCAGTGGTTAGGGTGCTGGCTACATACACCAGGCCAGCGGGTTTGAACCAGGCCTGGGACTGCTAAACAACGACAACTGCAACTACAACAACAAAATAGCTGGGCAATCTGGTGGGTGCCTGAAGTCCCACTACTTGGGAGGCTGAGGCAAAAGGATAACTTGAGCCCAAGAGTTTGCGGTTGCTGTGAGCTATGATACCACAGTCTACCAAGGGCAACATAGTGAGACTGTCTCAAAAAAAAAAAAAAGTAGCTGGGCATTGTGGCAGGCACCCGTAGTCCCAGATATACCCCAGAGGCTGAGGCAGAAGAATTGCTTAAGCCCAAGACTTTGAGGTTGCTGTGAGCTATGACACCATGGCACTACTCTACCCAGGGCAACAGAGATTCTGTCTCAAAATTAAATAAATAAAAGAAATAAATTATCTTATATATCCCCAAAACAGTTTTCATTCAATAACTTATATTGAAAGAAACTATCTAATCAATTCAAATACATGCTAATTATTACACTTTGATATAGTTTATAATGAATTGTTGAAAAGATTATCCTTACATTACCTGATTATAATTCTAGCTCAACTCTATTCAGATAAACCAAAGTCATAATAAAGAATGCTTTTTTAGCTTCATAGTGAAGTATTTAAGTGAAATGAGTAGAATTAAATAATTCAGAATACCAAATACATAAAGTAGTACAATTATAACTTTCAACTAATTATAAGCTTGAAATTCATGCCATTCACACTTGTATTCCCTGAAGGATAGAGCTTTTGTATAGCTCTATGTAAATATACTGAATATAAGAAATGTGAGGCATTTTCTATTTTAGGATGCTATTTCTAGATAATACATGAAGAACAAATACCAGTAAGTCAAATGTATAAATTGCACTAATTATAAATACCAAGAAAAACTGATTATTTTAGAAAAAAACTACTCAAAAGAGAAAATCTACTTACAAGAGATAACAGCAAACTGAACAGGTCACCAACATGGTGATGATGACTCTGAAAAAGAAAAAGCAAATGTCATTAGATAACTAACAAAACATGCAGACACTGCAGAATGATTTAAGTCTCCTGTTCAAATTATCAAACTGGCACATAGAATACATCAAGGAAGTGGAAGGAAATGGATCTGAATCTGTTCAAACAACCAGTACATTGCAGTGTGCCCCAGGCTTCACGAGTAGAAACTTAAGTATATAACTAAACATTTGTAATTAAAAGGATATGCACTAGAAACTTAAGTATGTAACTAAACATTTGTAATTAAAAGGATATATACTGATGCCACAACTTAAGAGGTCCAATCCAACCTCATCTGAAACTGAACAGAAAAGGCTACAGTGACACCTAAGTAACTACTCTATTAGGTAGTATTCTCGGTAATGAAATACCACTGCTCTTCTAAAAATGACTCTAGAATTGACCTCTTCCCACCTCCACTCTTATCTGAAAGTTAAACTTCTATCTTTGACCAGCAGAATTTCAGTATTTCTAAAACCAAGTTCATGATATTCTGTTCCCACTGGTCTTTCCAAACGCTCCTCTTTTAATCCACTCCTGAGAAGCAGCTTTGCCATTTGCAGCCATCCAGCACCCTAACCTACTGCATTTTGCCCATGCTTCCTCTGCACCCTCACAGTCACCAAAAACCATGTATTTATTCTTTGAAGTAACTCCCCCATTTGGATTTCCTCCTTCCCCTTCCCACTGTTACCAACAAAATTCACCAGGTTTGCGTGACAGATTCACAACTTTTCTTTCACCTTCTACCAGGACTACTCTCTCTAAAATACCCCTTTCAGTATATCATTCCCTGGCTTATGACCTTTCAATGGCACCCAATCACCTGGTTTCCAAAGAGGAAACCCCAGGAGACAGCAAGACTACCTCTTAGAACTTGGGAAGCAAATATTAGAACTCCTATTTTTATTTACATTTATTTTCAACTCATTCTTTAGAAGTTCTGTGTATTTTCTGTATTGGCACATTCATTCATTTAACAGATTTTCCCTGAATGTCCAGTATGTACCAGCCTCTGGGGAAAAAGCAGATAAAAACCCCTGCCTCATAAAGTTTGGAGACAAACAAGATAAAACAGTAAACAACCAAGGATTATCTATCTATCGTGAATTAGTATGCCAGATGGTCAATAACTGGTGATGGAGGAAAATAAAGCAGGAAAGGAAGACAGTATCTCCCCCAGTTTTAGATAAGAGATACAGGGAGTTGGAGGGTGTAGTGCAATTTTCAAGAGGATAAGCAAGAAAAGCTTTCTGAGGAGGTGGCACATGAGTGCAGACCTACAGAAGAAGGCAAGGGAGTGTTCCAGGCAAGGGAAGAGCAAACGCAAAGGCATGAGCTGATATAGTGTTCAAAGTGGAAGGAGGCGTGTGGCCAAGGCAAAGCAGAGGGAGCGGGCTCCTGACAAAGGCATGAAGTTTGGCCCCCATCCTCAATCCGTCTCACGCACTTGCTCCCCACATGATGCCCTCCACCATATCGCCACACTGTGAAAAGGCTTTCTTTAGATATGGCCCCTCAATCTCAGACTTCCCAGCCTCTAGAGCCATAAACCAAAATAATTTTTTAAAATAAATTATCCAGTCTTTATTTTATTTTTGAGACAGAGTCTCAAGCTATCACCCTGGGTAGAGTACCATGGCATCATAGCTCACAGCAACCTCTAACTCTTGGGCTCAAGCGATCCTCTTACCTCAGTTTTTCTATTTTTAGTAGAAACAGGGTCTCACTTTTGCTCAGGCTGGTCTCAAACTCATGAGCTCGTGCAATCTGTGAGCCACTGAGCCCAGCCTACGGTTACAATATATAAATAAATATGTGTGGGGATCGGTGCTAAGAAAATTATGACAGTTGCACAATGAACCCATTTGAAGGCCTACAGAATCAAGCCCAGCTCCTCACTTGTAATTCATTCCCTAAGCCTTTATCCCTGAAGGTAGGTGCCCTCACTGTCTCCTGGACACATACGTTGTGACTTTCAACCCAGGCTTTTGCTCACCTTTCTCCATTCTGTGCCCTAAACCGGAATCCCTTCCCTAGCTTCTCTCTTCTCCAAAAGACCACCTCAGAGAGCTAGAATGGCTGAGGCTCCTTTGTATTACCTGCTTAATATTAATAGTTTCAAACAATAAAAGCTCCCTTATTAATGTCAGCTCCTAATGTGCTTCTGCTCACAGGAGTGTCTAACCTATGGGCCATGAGCCACATGTAGGTTATTTTAAGAATTGTTTTGCTTATCTGTGGTGTCAGATATCTCGAAAAGTATGCTCAGACCTATTCTTTTGCTAATCAGCTTTCATTAGTGTTTGTGTATTTACTGTGTGGCCTGAAACACTCTTTTTTTTTTTTTTGAGACAAGAGTCTCACTACGTCCCCTGGATAGAGTGCCATGGTGTCACACAGCTCACAGCAACCTCAAATTCTTGGGCTTAAGCGATTCTCTTGCCTCAGCCTCCCAAGTAACTGAGGCTACAGGCGCTGGCGACAATGCCTGGGCTATTTTTTGTTGTTGTTGTTGCAGTGTCATTGTGTTTAACAGGCCTGGACTGGGCTCGAACCTACCAGCTTCAGTGTATGTGGCCAGCACCCTACTCACTGAGCTATGGGCGCTGAGCCAACCCTGCATTTTCTTTCAAATGGTTCAGCAAAATTATACACGCATAACACTCTATCATAAAGTAAATATGAATACATTAGTTATTACCTAGGTGGTAGTACTAAATAAGTACACGCTCATTCAACTACTCTTTCTACTTTTCTGCATGTCTGAAAATGCCCATGAATAAAGCAGAGCTGGCACACTCATCCCTGTGCTCTATCCCCTTTGCCTCCCGACATCTGCTGGGGGTGGGGAAGCGGCTGTGCAAACACTTAAAGCTTTTAGAGAATGTGTAGATCCCTACAGAGAACAGAAAGAAATCAAGAAAAACAAGAGGGCAGGGCCTGTAGCTCAAAGGGGTAGGGCGCCGGCCCCTTGCACTGGAGATGGTGGGTTCAAACCAGCCAGGCCAAAAAAAAAAAGAAAAGAAAAACAAGAAAGGTAAGGAAAGCTGTTTCCAGGCACAGGCCTGATTTTATCCAGCCCTTTTTCAATTGCAGAACACAATGAAAGAGCACAAGGTTTCCTTTAGATTTGGAAGAGTTTTCCCTCCTGCCTCACCAGGTTCTACAGCCTCCTAACTGAAAAGGGTAGGCAGCATGTGACCACAAACGGAGACTAGAGAATAGAGAAGTTCAGGCAGGTTTAATGAAAAGGACAGACGGGTGGCACCTGCGGCTCAAAGATATGGGCCCCATATGCCAGAGGTGGCGGGTTCAAACCCAGCCCCGGCCAAAAACTGCAAAAAAAAAAAAAAAGAAAAAAAGAAAAGGACAGACATGGCCTGGGCAGAGCCAAAAATGGCATCTGCACCAAAGGTGGTTGGAAACCCCCC